CCGCATTTCGACAATTTCTTCTCATCGAGTTTTATCTTGCTCTAAAACCAACTGATCGAAAACATACCATTATCCTAATCATCAATATACAGGGGGGGGGCAAAAAAAAGACATTTTGCCTATGTCGCACTTCGGCCTTTTTTCTTCGCAGAGATTGCCGTCGTTGACGGAAGTTCCTCAGCAAAAGTATTCCCTAATGTCCCTCTATAAGTGACGCAGGCCCTCCTTCACTGCCCTCACCGTCTTCAGAATATGACGTCATCTGTCACCGTCGTCAGGCTCAAGGAGGTCTACCGTAAGAGCTTCAGCCTGAAGCTCTTACGCAATTTCGTGAATCGATTTAATGTTGGATAGTTTTCTAGAGGCATTAGCTACCACTATGCAAATCCCCTCGAAACTAGCTTTCCAGTAAGGTCGTTATGGTACACGATCCTTCGAAGACCCCATTGAGCTCGACCAGTGCACCATGTTTCCAGGGCAAATTCTTCTGATGCCGTCCACGTAGGTGGCCACTATGAAGATTTTCTTATAGAATGGAATGCGCTCTTTAATAATAAGTTGGAACCGTTCGGTCTGAATTGAGCAAAATGTGCTTAAATCCATCTGGAAGTGGAGACAAAATGTCTTTTTTTTTATTGCCCCCCCCCTGTACATGCATTCGCCAGGAACCTCTGAATGCATTTCTCCCAGAATGGGTGAAGCTATGAGCTGAAGAATTCAGCAAGGTCGTTTTTGAGTGGTTGTATTTAGTGACTTTTTTCTCTCGCCGCTGCTGCCTCAAGGCACTGTGAAGGGATAGCCCGATGGAGTGATGCCAGGGCTATACGATGGACATGGTATCGTGGTCCAGCCAGTTTCCCTCAGAACGTAGCGAGTTATCTTTGCAATGTGAGGTCGGGCGTCTATTCGGAGAAAGGGGATTTTGGGACGTTTAGGACGGTTCTCCACTACTGCGGCCAACCCCGGGAGCTGTTCCACGATGGCATTCGCAATACTTGTCCGCATATAGCAAAACGACTGTGAAAACGGAAGACCCACTCAATCTAACAAATCAAAAGCAATATTCTCTGACCACGGAGTTTGGGCTTTTGTTGAGCTGGTGAGCCCTGGCTGCGAGGTAGCCATCAGGCGTGCTGCGTGTTGTTGTCGTAGTGAACTCATGACTCATCCCCACTGATCAACTAGGGAACGCTCTGCTAATGAGGTCACAGAATGAATTCCCCCAGAGGGTCAGACCTGTTTCTCGGCCATTACTGGTCGGCGTATATAGTTTCCATCAAGTCTTATTCTGTCGCCGCCCACTTCACCCTGATGGCTGTGCCCACGTGTCCGCTACTTGGTATGGTAAGAAAGTCCTGAGCCGATTTTTCGAAAGCTCCAGAACTTTCGCTTATTGATCGATACCTAGAATCTGCTACGTGATAGACTATCGCTGTCGATCATACTTCTCCGCAGTAGGTATATATTGCCGGGTTGCCTTCTTTAACTTTAATCATGATGTCGATTCCACAAGAGCACTTTCGAGCGATCATCTTCAATGAATGGCGCTGCGGCACAGGAGCAGTGGAAACCGTCAACATTATCAGCATCGCATTGGGAAGGGACACCACTTCCATCATCAGTGCCAAGCTCTGGTTCGCAGGCTTCGAAGGAGGAGACACGGCTTCCGAAGAAAGACAAACAGTGGAAGACTCCACCGTTCTCGGCGCTGTCGAAGAGGATCCGGAGGTTAGCACCCGCAGCCTTGTGATAAGACTCGGGTGCACCCATCCCACAGTCCTCGGTCCCCTCCACGCCCTCGCCACAGGAAAGTGCCGACTCGATGGATCCCTCATGTCTTGACCGATAGCACGCGGTTCAGGCGGATACCCATTCTGTCAGTTTCTCCTTCGCCCGCACCGAAAGGAGTTTCTGGAAGGTTTGATCACAGAAGATGAGAGTTTGGTCTTTGTCGCGTCTGGGGCTTGAGCCTGTTGCGATCCGCATCGGTGGGCTCTGCCTAGCAACTCCTGACGCCTGGAACCTTTCGGTCCAAGGACTTTCCATCGGGTCCACAACACCTCTCCTGCGCACCCCGCAGGAGAAGCGGACCAACCCCTCGGGGACCATGGGGTTCCTAACGGGTCCCTACTGCCTCCCGCAGCTCCCGGGTCAGAACCAAGCGCGCCAAACCCTTGCCAACCATGGCGCAAACAACATATACAATGAACACATAGAATTAGGGCAAAACCCACATGGGCATAAATACAACATATAAACAATACATATTTATTATACGTAGTAACTCACCATCACCTCTGATCTCCCTCGGCCACCTCGCTCAAGGGCAGACCAGGCCAGCTGACTATACGTATTAGACCCCCATCCCGCTCGGGACCACACTTCTGGGCACCTTACGGTCGGCGGGTCCGAAACGGGGCGCGATACTGGCTGCTCCCAGACG